CCCGCAGCCCGGTCCCCGCTGCGGCGTCGGGGCCATGGCCGGTCTGGGCCCCGGCGGGGGCGACTCGGAGGGCGGCCCCCGGCCCCTGTTCTGCAGGAAGGGCGCCCTGAGGCAGAAGGTGGTGCACGAGGTCAAGAGCCACAAGTTCACCGCCCGCTTCTTCAAGCAGCCCACCTTCTGTAGCCACTGCACCGACTTCATCTGGTGAGGGGCTGGAGACCGGGAGTCTGGGAGGACCAGGAGGGAGCCCGGGGGTCTGGGGGGACCAGGAGGGAGGCTGGGATCTGGGGGAACCTGGGAGGAGCAGGAGAGAGGCCAGGGGTCTAGGGGGGGCAAGAGGGAGGCTGGGGGTCTCGGAGGACCTGGAGGGAGGCCAGGGGTCTCGGAGGACCAGGAGGGAGGCCAGAGGTCTGGGGGGGCCAGGAGGGAGGCCGGGGATCTGGGGGGACCAGGAGGCAGAGGTCTGGGGAGGCCAGGAGGGAAGCGGGGGATCTGGGGGGAGCTTGGGGGGACCAGGAGGGAGGCTGGGGATCTGGGGGGACCTAGGAGGAGCAGGAAGGAAGCGGGGGTCTGGGGGGACCAGGAGGGAGGCTGGGGATCTGGGGGGACCTGGGAGGACCAGGAGGGAGGTCGGGGATCTGGGGGGGACTAGTGGGGAGGCCGGGGGTCTGTGGGGGGGGCTGGGGCCCAGATTCATGTCACATGGATGAGTCAAAGTGGAGCTGCAGCCCCCAGCCCATTACTGGGCTTTAGAATGGGGTCTGGACCCCCGTGTCTGAGAGAAGAGGCTAGGGTCTGGCCCCGGTTCTGAGGGAGGAGGGGCTGGGAGCCGGAGTTTCAGGGTTCTGGAGGAGGGCCTGACGACGGGTGCCGGCCACACTGACCCCCCTCTTCGCTCTTGCAGGGGCATTGGAAAGCAGGGCCTGCAGTGTCAAGGTGAGAGCCGGCCGGACCTCCAGGACCCCCGGACCTCTGCCCCGCCCAGGCGGAGGCCAAGGCCCGGGGAGGCTGCAGGCGCATGTGCTCCGTGGTCCCCAGAGGCGCGGGGGGAGCCCGGGGCGGGGGGTGTGGCCGCGGGGGGGGGGCCGCTGGTGGCAGGGCCCCCGCGGAGGGGGCGCCGGCCCCGCCCTCGGCCGGCTCCAGGTGGGGACAGATATTTGGAGAATCTGTTGCCATGGCAACAGGGCGATTTGGAAAAAGGGGAGCTGAAGGGTGTGGGGGGGAAGGGGCTGGAGATGCCAAGTCAGAACCCCCCTCCCCAGGCCGTCGTCACCATGACAACACGATCGTCCTAGGCAGGGGCAGGCCGGGGTGGGGGCCCTGAAGGGGGGGGCGAGGCCCACAACACCAGCTGCCACTGCTGGGGAGTGGGTGAGTCAGGGTGGGAGGCGGCCACAGCACCCCCAGCCTCACTCCTGCCCAAGTTGCCTTCCTCCCGGATGCTTGAGGATGGTCTGCTTCCTGGAAATCCGTCAGCATCTCCTGTTTCTGTCTTATCTTTCCTCTGTGGCCTGAGGTTTTTGTCCAGGGGACCCAACTGATTCTCTCTGTTTGTCTGTCCATCTACTTGGGACTGAGTCTGGGGCCTCCGGGTCCCTGGTCACTTTGTGGTTGCTGTGTCTCTGCATTTCTTCTTTCCATTGGTCTCTCAGGTGTTCGTGTCTGCACTCTCTGTGTGGTTCTGCAGCTTTCACACCCTCATACTCACACACACGCACACACACACACACATGTTGGACTGTCCATGCGGAGACCACTTCTCTCTCTCTGGTTTTCTGTCTGTCTGGGCTTTTCTTTGCAGCTCTCTGTCTGCAGGGGAGCCATCTGTGACTGTCCGATTTTCATCTTCAGTCTGCAGCTTTGTGGTGCATCGACGATGCCACGAATTCGTGACCTTCGAGTGTCCAGGAGCTGGGAAGGGCCCCCAGACGGACGTGAGTGCCCGGACACCTGGTTCTACCTCCTCGGGCCACGCCCCCGCCCATGCCCCCTCAGCGACCGTCCCACTTTCTCTTGCTATTTTTAAGGCTGGGCGGAGAGGGGGGCTGGAGAGATAGGGGGAGCCAGTCTGGCCCAGATTCTTTGCCCTTGGCCTGGAAAGGGGGAATACCAGGGGGGCCTGGGACAAGCCGGGCACAGGTGGGACCAGCTGGGAGCAAGGGTGAGGGATACCAAGAGCAGCACTGGAGGGCTGGGTGCTCTGGGGGGGAGGGGCGGGGAGAGATTTCAACAAATCCAGGCCTGAAGGAAAGAGATGCATACAGGCACTGAGATGCAGAGAGGAGAGAAAGCCCTGACGGAAGATCAGAGAGAGAACTAAAACGGAGCAAGTGCAGGGAGAGGTTTGCAGGCACCAAGAGAGGCCATCAGAGCAACACTCCAAGATGCTAAAATGGGAGACAGTAGGTATGGCGCACACTTCGGAGATGCTGAGATGGAGGGGAGACCCTGCAGTGCACACGTGCACACCCACGTGCACAGGCAGACCCCTGTACACATACACACACACATACACATGCGCGTGCTCAGAACCACAGCTCTCTGCACAGCAGAGATCGACACTGTGATCAACTCTGAGTGCTAGTCCTGTCCCTTCCTTCCCTTTCTCACCAAGCCTCAGCTTCCTCCACTGTAAAATGGGGTGACCACCAGCAGAACTGACCCTAGTGATGGACATGTGGTGTCGGATAGGTGGCTATCAACCAAATGTGGCTGGTGATGGAACCAGACAGATAGAGGGACATAAATCTAAATTCCATTTCATTCAGCTGGATTTCAAGGTGTTTTTGTTTTGTTTTGTTTTGTTTTTGTTGGCCATGGGGCTTGAACTCTGAGTCTGGGCACTGTCTTCAGCACTTCAGCTCAAGGTGAGCGCTCTACTACTTGAGCCACAGTGCCACTTCCAGTTTTCTGGTGGTTCACTGGCGATAAGAGTCTCACAGACATTCCTGCCTGGGCTGGCTTTGAACCATGATCTTCAGATCTCAGCCTCCTGAGTAGCTAGGATGACAGGTGTGAGCCAGTGGCACCCAGTGGTTGATTTCAAGTTTAAACAGCCACTTGGGTTTAGTGGGTACTGAAGGAGATGGGAAAACAGACCCAGGTATGGGCTCCATTTCTTCCAGGGTTTAATACAGATGAGAGACAGTTGTATAACAGCAGACAGGCTCATGCTTGTAATCCCAGCTACTCAGGAGGCTGAGTTCTGAGGATCACGGTTCAAAGCCAGTCCAGGTAAGACAGCCCATGAAACCCTTATCTTCAACTAAGCAACCAAAAAGCTGGAAGTGGAGCTGTGGTTCAAAGTGACAGAGCATTCACCTGGAGCACAAAAGCCCAGGCCCTGAGTTCAAAGCCCCAGGACCATCCTCCTGTCCCTCCCCCCCCAAAAAAAAAGAAAAAAAAAAGAAGAAGGAAAGAGACAGCACTTGGGAGACTGTGGCCAGAGATCAGTAGTTTGGGACCAGTCTGGGCTACATGGTAATACCTTGAACAACAACGAAAAGATGAGGAGAGCTCTTCAGAAGCCTAAGACCTCTGCCAGTTTGTCAAGTGAATTTATTCACAGAAGATGTGTCTACCAGCCTCTGTGTGTGTGTGTGTGTGTGTGTGTGTGTGTGTTTACTTTTCCTGGGGCTTGAACTCAGGGCCTGGGCACTGTCCCACTGGGCTAGCACTCTACTGCTTGAGCCATAGCTCCACTCCTGACTTTTGGAGTTGGTTTATTGGTGGTAAGAGTCTCACCGACTTTTCTGCCTGGGCTGGCTTCCAACCATGATCCTCAGATCTCAGCCTCCTGAGTAGCTAGGTACAGGTGTGAACCACCAGCGCCTGGCTGTATATGTTTGTGTTACCTACACTACCTGCAGACTCACCTGCCTACCTCCATCCTGTGCTTAGTCCTGACATGTTCACTTCATGTCTGTGGGAGTGTGTGTATGTGTGTGTGTGTGTGCGCACGCGGGCATGCGCGTGTATGCACTTGTGCTGGTACTAGGGCTTGAACTTTGAACTCAGAGCCCAGGTGCTGTCTCTTATCTTTTTTCTTTTTCTTTTTTTTGTCGGTTGTGGGGCTTGAACTCTGTGCTCTTCAGCTCAAGGCGAGCCCTCTACCACTTGAGCCACAGCACCACTTCCAGTTTTCTAGTGGTTTATTGGAGATAAGAGTCTCATGGACTTTCCTGCCCAGGCTGGCTTTGAACTGCAATCCTTTGATCTCAGCCTCCTGAGTAGCTAGGATTACAGGTGTGAGCCACCAGCACCCAGCTTCTCTTAGCTTTTTTCATTCATGTTTGGCACTTTACCACTTGAGCCACAGTTCTACTTCTGGCTTTTTAGTGGTCAGTTAGAAACAGGCGTCTCATGTACTTTCCTGCCTGGGTTGGCTCTGACCCGTAATCAGTAGATCTCAGCCTCCTGAGTCACTAGGGTGACAGGTGTGAACCTAGTGTCCACCTCTGATGGGTTCTTTGAAGGTGCAGGTCAAATTATTTGACAGGAAGACACAGAAACTGAGCATTACTTCCGGATGAGGACTGGGTCTTTCCGTTTGGCAGGGGGAGGTCTCAGTGTTGGGAATGAGCATGCTCAGAATGGCTGGGCAGGGAAGTGGCCCCACTCTTCACTAACCTCAGGGCTCACACTGGTGATGTCCTTGGCAGTGCTGGCTGAGGAGGGACTAGCTCTGCGCGCCCCGTGGGTGTTGACCCAGACCTCTCAGGTCCCTGCTATAATCCAGGACCATCCTTCGGGCCCAAGGCTGGGGCTAAGCCAGCCCAGGCACAGTAGCTGACATGGTCAGAGTCCGGGGTTCAGAGGGACCCAAAAATCCTCAGAGAACAACTCATAGGAAGCTCAAGAATAGGAGGATAGAGAAAGGGGATGTCACAAGCCCCCTCCTCTCTGTTCTGCCCAAAAGACACCATGTCAGTGTCTCCCTGCAAACTATATTCGAATTTCAAGACCCCAACTTCTTGTAGTACCTTGCCTCATTTTTTCCAAAGCATCCATTATCATCTATTATGCCTTATATTTTATTCCTGTTGTTTTATTTTGTTGGTTGTGGGACTTGAACTCAGGGCCTGGCACTGTCCCTGAGCTTCTCTATGCTCAAGACTAGCTCTCTACCACTTGAGCCACAGCGCCACTTCTGGTTTTTGAGTAGTATAATATTGGAGATGAGAGTCTCCCAGGGACTTTTCTGTGTCGACTGTCTTGGAACCGTGATCCTCAGATCTCAGCCTCCTGAGTAGCTAGTAAGCCACCAATGCTCAGCTTAGGGTTTTTAGGTTGTTTCCCTCTACTAAACCCCCATGTTTAGGAATGGACTCTCTCCTACCTACTCTTCCCCTAAGGGTCTTTTCCCCCACTTTGAATCAGAGCTCACTATGTAGCTCAGGTTGTCCTCGAACTCTCAGTCTTCTCTCAGCCTGCTGAGTTGCTGGGATTACAGCCTCTGAGTGTTTTCTTCGTCCCCAGGACCCCCGGAACAAGCACAAGTTCCGCCTGCACAGCTACAGCAGCCCCACGTTCTGCGACCACTGTGGCTCCCTCCTCTACGGGCTGGTGCACCAGGGGATGAAGTGCTCCTGTGAGTGTCTGGCTCTGGCCTGGCATGGACCGGGCGCGGGGGATGGGGCCTGGGGCTGCAGGCAGGGCTTGGGGGTGGGGTTGGGCCACCACCCCTGGCTTCTGTCCTTCACCAGGTTGCGAGATGAACGTACACCGACGCTGCGTGCGCAGCGTGCCCTCGCTGTGCGGCGTGGACCACACTGAGCGCCGCGGCCGTCTGCAGCTGGAAATCCGGGCTCCCACCTCAGATGAGATCCACATTACTGGTGAGACCACTGCCCGTCTCAGGCCACGCCCCCTGGCAGAAACCGGTCCAGGCCACGCTCATAGGCTGAACCCAGACCTGTGGTTGGCTCCATCAAGCCACGCCCCCTCTCTTGCTGTGGAGAGGCCTGGCAGAACCCATCAGTGCAGGCCCATCTCCCAAACCAGGAGACCACGCCCTCTCTAAGCCACGCCCACACAGTTGATCCCAGGCCGCTGATCACCATGGCCCCGCCCTTCTAGCTCCAAGTCCCACCTCTAATTCTGACCGTTGCTGCGACCTTAAGCGACTCTCAGTGGTCACTGTAGACCTCAGGATCCTTAAGTAGGACGGGTGAATGGGGAACCTGTTCCAAGGAAGGACGGGGTCTGCTACCCAGGGCCAGGGGCTGCATGCCTGAGTCAGTGTATGCCAGTCCCAGGGCTTGAACTCAGGGCCTGGGCGCTGTCCCTGAGCTTATTTTGCTCAAGGCCAGGACTCTACCACTTGAGCCCCAGCACCACTTCCGGCATTTTCTGTTTCTGTGGAATCGAACCCAGGGCTTCATGCACGCTAGGCAAGCACTCTACCATTAAGTCACAGTCACAGTCCCAACTTGCATTTCTTGATGGCTGACGGGGAGCACACCCAGAAGCTCCTTCCTGGATCTCTAAGCTACTCTCCTTCACCTTCCCCTTCCAGTTGGCGAGGCCCGTAACCTCATTCCTATGGACCCCAATGGTCTGTCTGATCCCTATGTGAAACTGAAGCTCATCCCAGACCCCAGGAACCTGACAAAGCAGAAGACCCGGACTGTGAAAGCTACACTCAACCCTGTGTGGAATGAGACCTTTGTGTTGTGAGCTTGGGTGCTCTGATGGACAGAGGATGGTCAGAGGGTGTTGGGGGCCACACCACTCTAAGGAGAAGCTGGTGAAGGCATTGGGATAGAGGGAAATCTCAAAGGGGGCAGAAGAAGGCAATGGGAGAAGGGACTGGAACACTTGAAGACGAGGGCTGTGGAGGCTCAGAGGGTCACAGACACAGATCTCAGTGCACTTCATCTCCCTGAGCCCTCTCTACTTTAGAGAGAGTTCCAGACGAGAGGAGAGACAAGCAGAGGAACAAGAAGAGTCTAGAGGAGGATGAAAGGGAAAAGGACTGAAATGGGGCAAGAAGAGAGCAGAGGGACAGATGGAAGACTGGGTGTGGTGGCATACACAAGTAATCCCAGCACTGGGGAGATGGAGGCAGGAGGATGGTGAGTTCAAGGCCAGCCTGAGCTGTAGCAAAACCCCGTTTCAGAAGATCCAGAGAGAAGAAAGCACACACGTGCACACACACACACACACAGAGGCAGGGGAGAGGATAGTAGAGGATAGGGAAGTAGCAAAGACCAAAAGAGAAGCCAGGAAGACAGGACAGAGAGCAGAAAAAGTGAGGTGACATTGGTGACTAGGAGCAGGAAAAAGAGCAGGAGCTGGGTGGGAAGGAGGGAAGCTGGACGCTGGGACAGCTATCCACTTCCACTTCAGTCCTCTACTGGCCTTGACCGCAGAGCTCTGGGAGGCCAGGATGGGATTCCACTCCACCCCCAGTGCCCACGGTAGGGATGGGGGACCATGAGCTCCAGCTCCTCCCTCTGGCCCACCCTCTGCAGCAACCTGAAGCCCGGGGACGTGGAACGAAGGCTCAGCGTGGAGGTGTGGGACTGGGACCGGACATCCCGAAACGACTTCATGGGCGCCATGTCCTTTGGGGTCTCGGAACTGCTCAAGGCACCTGTGGATGGCTGGTGAGGAGTGGGACCAGGGATGGTGGTGGACCAGTTACCTCCTTCCACGCGTGGTCTCCTCCTCTGGACCACCGTCTTTCCCTCTCCTTCTTCCCCATCTTCTTTCCCCTCCCCCCTGCTCCTCCTCCACCTCCTTCTCCTCTTCTTCCTCCTCTCTCTTCTTCCTCTTCTCTCGCCGCTCTCTCCCCCCTCTCCTTATCTCACTTTCTCTCTCTCCATCTCTGTGTCTGTCTCTCTGTGTTTCTTTCCTCCCTTTGGATGTCTCTGCCTCTTCCTCGGGTGCCCTGCTCCCCCCACCCCTGCCCGGCCCTGGTCTCCGTCTGTATGTCAGGTACAAGTTACTGAACCAGGAGGAGGGCGAATATTACAATGTGCCGGTGGCCGATGCTGACAACTGCAGCCTCCTCCAGAAGTTTGAGGTACCTGGACTGGCTTCCCCAGGGGAGCCCAGACCAGCCTCCCCCCATTTCAGAGCTGGCCTTCCCCTCTACCCTCTGAAGGCCCACTGGTCCTGGGACTACAATTCCCAGAAGACCCCATGCTCCTACCTTTGCTCTTCTTAGGGGCTCTGGCTCCAGTGTCTGATGGGAATTGTAGTTCTTTTCAATCCCTGTGGCTTGGAGATAATAGAGGTTCTAGATCTTGCTCTGGGGCAATCTCCTACCTCCTTTGGGGCCCCGACTCTTGCTTTTTTTCCCCCCAGGCCTGTAACTACCCCTTGGAATTGTATGAGGTGAGTAGAGTTGAGACATTGTGGTGCTCAGACTGTCTGTCTGTCTTCAGTTCTACATGTTAGTTGAATGGGTGGTTGGCACTCGGTCCATTCTGTACTTTCTGGGTATCCTACTGCTTTGGTCTTTATTGACTTGTTCTGTAATCCAGGAGCACCCATGACAGGGAAGGCTGTGTCTGAGGTTTTGTTCTGTGTCTCTCCCTACTCAATAGGCATCAATGAATATTATCAATACACACCTGCCGGTGTCAGACCCTGGGCTAGGTCCTGGGACTAGGGGCAGCCTAGGTTCCTACCTGCTTGCAAGATGTTGTCCAAAGTACTGTCCACTCCTGACAACTCTGCTGGAAGTTCTTTCTGTTACCTGACCGTTGTCCATGCCGTTATGCATGGGGTCTGAAACTAAATGGCCAAGCTGCCCTCTGCACAATATGGTATCTTGTTCACAAATATTTCTTGAGCCAGGTGCTGGTGGTTCACACCTGTAATCCTAGCTGCTCAGGAGGCTGAGAGCTGAGAACTGAGTGGGAAAATCCATGGGACTTTTTTTTGGCTGTGGGGCTTAAACTCTGGGTCTGGGTGCTGTCCCTCAGCTCTTCAGCTCAAGTTGAGTGTGCTACCACTTGAGCCACAGCTCCACTTCCAGTTTTCTGGTGGTTCACTGGAGATAAGAATCTCACAGGTGGGTGCCAGTGGCTCATGCCTGTAATCCTAGCTACTCAGGAGGCTGAGATCTGAGGATCGAGGTTCAAAGCCAGCCCAGGCAGAAAGTCCATGAAACTCTTATCTCCAATAAACCACCAGAAAACTGGAAGTGACGCTGTAGCTCAAGTGGTAGAGTACTCACCTTGAGCTGAAGAGCTGAGGGACAGTGCCCAGGCCCAGAGTTCAAGCCCCACGACCGACAAAAAAAATAAAAATAAAAATAAGAGTCTCAACAGACTTTTTTGCCTGGGCTCGCTTTGAACTGTGATCCTACCCGAGTAGGTAGGATGACAGCCGTGAGCCACTGGCACCTGGCAAGACTCTATTTTTTTTTTTTTTTTGTCGGTCGTGGGGCTTGAACTCTGGGCTTGGGCGCTGTCCCTCAGCTCTTCAGCTCAAGGCCAGTGCTCTACCACTTGAGCTACAGTGCCACTTCCGGTTTTCTGGTGGTTTATTGGAGATAAGACTTTCACAGACTCTCCTGCCCGGGCTGGCTTTGAACCGTGATCCTCAGATCTCAGCCTCCTGAGTAGCTAGGATTATAGGCGTGAGCCACCAGCACCCAGCTAAGACTCTATTTCTAAGTGATCAACAAAAAGCCAGAAGTAGAGTTTTGGCTCAAATGGTAGAACACCAGTCTTGAGCAAAAATACCCAGGCCCTTAGTTCAAGCCCCAGTACTGGCACCAAAAAAGAAAAAAAAAAAAAAGGAAACAATAACTCTTGAACCTCACCACTTCCCCAAGCACCACCACTTTGTGTTGGAGAACAAAATCGACCCCTGTTTAGGGTGCTCAGGGGAAAGAGGTCAATTTCTGTTCCAAAGGAGCTGTCCATGATAGTCCCTGGGTCGGGAGAGCAGTAACTGGTTCTATTAAAATGATCAAGGGAGGCCTGAGAAATGACTGGACAGCGGTAGGGGAACAATTTATTCAGAGCGGGCAGAATGGCATGTCCCAAGGCCCTGGGGTTGGAAAGGGAGCAATGTGTTGGAGGCTAGCGAGGCAAGACCTTGGAGGGGGTGGGGGAGAGACCAGTGGGATCCATTAAAGCTGCTACTGAAGCCACAGGAAATAAAATCTTAATACAGGAAGAAGCCATTAGAGGGTTCGAAAGCATAGGGGAGACATGACCTGGTTTATTTATTTTTAAATTGGTCCCTCTGCCTGCTAAGCAGAGAACACATTAGAAAGGACAGCCGTGGAAGTTGCACAAGCAGCTCAGGCTTGGGGGGGGGGTGGAGGGTGGGAAGGACAGGCATGAAAGAAAAAGACACAAGGCTAGGGCGGGCCAGCAGCAGCCACAAGCCCAGGGAACTGTGTAAATTCACAGCTTTCCCCTCCTCGCCCTCCCCTTCATAGAATCAGAAAGCCTGGGGGTAGGACCTCATGATCTGTTTTGCCAATTCCTCTAAAAGACCCGGGCTTGGAGGCTTCAGTGTGGCCAAGGCCTGGGGAGTTTGACCTGGGGGCAAATTGCTTGACATCTCTGTGCCAGTTCCCTCTTCTGGAAAGTGGGTAGGACAGCAAGGTTGTCCAGAGGGTGTAACCAGTAGGCCGAGTGTGAGTTAAATAATAAATTCTTCAGGCTGGGGGTAGGGAGGGCAGATCAGAGAAAGTTCTCCAGCCACGCGAGGGGTGGGGTTTGCCCCATTTTGTCATGTATTCCTCCCCGTTCTTCCCTATCCCCTTCCTGGCCGGGTCTCGCCTGACCGGGAGGGCGACCCGGGTTCTCTGCTTGTCCACAGCGGGTGCGGATGGGCCCTTCGTCCTCCCCCATCCCCTCCCCATCCCCCAGCCCCACCGACTCCAAGCGCTGCTTCTTCGGGGCTGGCTCGGGGCGCCTGCACATCTCCGACTTCAGTTTCCTCATGGTCCTGGGAAAAGGCAGCTTTGGGAAGGTTGGATTCTTGGGGCTGGGGAGGGGGTGGGGGGAGCAGGGGGGAAGGGCAGAGGGGTGGGGAGGCTGGGAGGGGCGGGAGGGTTCCTGCTCCTAGAGGCGGGAGTGGGTGGGGGAGCCCTGGGATCGGCTCCTGGAAGTGCCTAGGCGTCAGCCCCGGGCGTCCCCTTCCCCCACCCTTCCCAGGCCCCGGCCTGGGCCCCGTCCCCGTCCACCCGTCCACCCCTGCCCTCCGTCCCTAGGTAATGCTGGCCGAGCGCAGGGGCTCCGACGAGCTCTACGCCATCAAGATCCTGAAGAAGGACGTGATCGTCCAGGACGACGACGTGGACTGCACGCTGGTGGAGAAGCGCGTGCTGGCGCTGGGCGGCCGCGGGCCCGGCGGCCGACCCCACTTCCTAACCCAGCTGCACTCCACCTTCCAGACACCGGTGAGGCCGGGGCGCGAGGGCCGACGGCGATGGCGCCGCCCTGCCCCCCTCGGGCTGGAACTGCCACCCGGGCTCAGCAAAGGCACCGAGCACTTTAAGTGGGCGTGACCAGGAGTGTGTGTGGGCTCGATAGCCTGGGCATGGCCTGGATCTCCGGCGGGGGCGTGGCCAGGAGTACCTCCTGGTGGGCGTGGCCAGTGTTATGGGGTGGAGCCAGGCCGGGATGAAGGGCTAGATGGGCGTGGCCGGGATTGTCTGCTGGAGGCGTGGCCTGGCTCAGCGCGAAAGTGGATGTGGCCGAACCACCTGTCTTGCAGCCAACCTCACATACCGGGCTGTCTGGGGTCTGAATTTGGACTCTGAGTAATGGCACCACTTTTGGATTCTGCCTAAAGGATGCGTGGTAAAGGGGTTTCCCTAAGACTGTGGCAGGGATTCCGAACCTTCCAGGTTTGGGAAGGAGGTGCCTCTGGCTCTGCGTGGGCCCGGCCAGCCTCCAGTACTAGACATGATAGTTGCAGTAGGTGAAGGCTGTCCGTCCTTGGGCCGAGGTGGCCAGAGTCACATGTACGTATGTGTGCAAAGGTCTTTGGGCCAAGGTGGCCGGAGTCACAGGTACATACGTGTGGCTGGATGTGCAAAGGGCCCCGGCCTGCCCGGATTTCAGCCAGCAGTGTGACCTCAGTTCTCAGTTCTGAGAAGCGAGGCTAGAACTCCTGACTATCGGAGCCACCGGGGATGGACCCGGGGCCCTTCCTCGGTGTGGCCAGTTGCTCCACAATTGTCCCCTCGAGTGGGCACGAAGGATGCGTCCCTGCCTCTGAGCCCCAGCCTCCTCCCCAGGACCGCCTGTATTTCGTGATGGAGTATGTCACCGGAGGTGACTTGATGTACCACATCCAGCAGCTGGGCAAGTTTAAGGAGCCCCACGCAGCGTGAGTGTGACAGGGCAGGGAGTTGGGGTGGGGAGGGGGACCGCGGGCCACTGACCTGCACTTCCCACGGCTCCTCCAGGTTCTACGCTGCAGAAATCGCCATCGGCCTGTTCTTCCTTCACAACCAGGGCATCATCTACAGGTCAGCATGCCCAGGACTTCCCGTGGAAGGACAGCTGGCCCCTGAAAGGAGAAGGGGTTGGCACATAGAGCCCAGACCTGCCCCTCTCAGCCCCCCTTCCCGCAATGTCTTTTGGCACCCCTGTTCTCCAGGGACCTGAAGTTGGATAATGTGATGTTGGATGCAGAAGGACACATTAAGATTACCGACTTCGGCATGTGTAAAGAAAACGTCTTCCCTGGGACCACAACCCGCACCTTCTGTGGGACTCCAGACTACATAGCCCCTGAGGTACTGTGACCCTCAGCTTCTCCACCAGCTGCTGATGGGCAGGCTGTCCAGTGTTCCTAGTGGGTGGGGCCTGTTGTGGATGGAAAGGGCCATCCAGTGTTCCCAGTGGGTGGGGCCTGTTGTGGATGGACAGGCTGTCCAATGTTCCTAGTGGGTGGGGCCTATTGTGGATGGACAGGGTGGTCCAGTGTTTCTAGTTAGGGGGTTGCTGTTTCCCAGGTAGGCCTCAAAACCAGGTCAGGCATTGCTTCAGTGTTCCCGTCGGAAGGCGGGTGGATGTGCTGTAAGCCAGGAAACAGATGAAATGAGCAGGACCTGTGGGGCAGTGCTCAGGCGGGGGTGGGGACCCATCTTGCAGGGATTCTGGGGGATTCTGAGTGGAGCTTGCCGCATTCTGAGAAGCCAGAGACTATTTCCAGTCTACCCTGTGGGCGGGGCTCAGCTGCAGCGCTGAGCAGTGGGGCGGGCCCTGGAGTACTCTGCTAGGTAAAAACTCATAGTGAGTCTTGCACCTAGTTTCTGTGTGTGTGTGTGTGTGTGTGTGTGTGTGTGTGTGTGTGTGTGTATTGGAACCAGGGCTTTGAATAAGTACAGTGTATTTTTTTTGCCAGCCCATGGGGCTTGAACTCTGGGCCTGGGCACTGTCCCTGAGCTTCTTTTTGCTTACGCTGAACACTCTACCACTTGAGCCACAGTGCCACGTCCGGCTTTTTTGAGTAGTTTATTGGCAATTAGAGTCTCATGGGGTTTCCTGACCGGGCTGGTTTTGAACCTCAATCCTGAGAACTCGGCCTCCTGAATGCTAAGACTACAGGTGTGAGAACTGGTGCCTGGCACTTCTACCATTTTCAAAGGCCAGAGTGGAAGCCTAGGAGGGCCAGGAGGGCAGATGCCATGCCTGAGTATTTTCGGTGGATGGGAAATTGCTGGGCCCTTGTCAAGGGGTAAAGTTCATGCTTTCAACGTAGGTGTACGTGACTGGGGGAGGAGGGGATGGATGCTGTGTGACCTGGCTTTACTAAGCTGGGGATGAGGTGGTATTGGAGATGCTGCCCCTCAATTTGTTTTTTTAAACTGCTCAATGCTGTGGGCCAAGTGATCCCTGTTGGTGGTCATCAAACCTTGCTGTCCCTGCAGAAGGCATCTCCTGTGCAAAGTTAGGGAGAGAGCCACTGCCATGCCCGCCTCCGGCTTCCTGGCATCCATGCCCAGGCCTGGGTGCTGCAGTCTGGGCCCTGGTGCCCAACCTGTCACAGGCAGGCTGTTCAGGAACTCTGAGCAGGTGCGGCAGGCGGGGCTGGCGACTTGGCTTTTGCGTAGTCTGTGTTTGAGAGTAGAAGGGATGTTGTCAGCAGGGAACCTTCCTTCCCTGAATTCTTCAAAGGGTGGATGGATGGAGCTGCAGCCAAAATGTTCACAGAGTGGGAAGAACTTGGGCCCAAAGCATCTGATGCAGGACGGGCTCCTGGGACCAAGGCCAGAGAGGTGCTGGGCCTCTTAAAGGAACGTCGCAATCCCTGGCTCTGGCCCCTCACCCCCTCCCTCCTCCCCCTCAGATTATTGCCTACCAACCCTACGGCAAGTCTGTGGACTGGTGGTCATTCGGGGTCCTGCTGTACGAGATGCTGGCAGGACAGGTAAGGACCGGGGGACACCCCTCCTAAGCAGCCTCCTTTCTATCTGCAGGAGGGTGGAGGGGAGGAAAGTCCCAGACTGCTGTCCATGGTCCTGAAACGTTATCTTCCCATAGTCCCTGGGTGTTCAGCTTTTGCTCTTTTGTTTTGGGTTTTGTTTTGGTGCCTTTGGCACTTTGGTGAATTCTGTAAACCCTTCTCACACTTGGGCACACAAACGATAAAATAAATCAATCTCCTTGAAGTGTAGTTCTCTCTCCCTTCCCTCCTTCCTTCCTTCTTTCCTTCCTTCCTTCCTTCCTTCTCTTCCTCTTCCTTCCTTCCTTCTCTCTCTCCCTCCCTTCCTTCCTTCCTTTCTTTCTTTTTCGCTTGCCAGTCCTCCTGGGGCTTGAACTCAGGGCCTGGACGCTGTCTCTGAGTCTCTTTGTGCTCAAGGCCAGCACTCTACCACTTGTGCCACAGCACCACTTCCGGCTTTTTCTGAGTAGTTTAATGGAGATAAGAGTCTCATAGACTTTTTCTGCCCTGACTGGCTTCAAACCATGATCCTCAGATCTCAGCTTCTCAAGTAACTAGGATTACAGGCAGAAGTCACCAGCACCCAGTTATTTCTCAAAAGTTAATTGCATTTACCTAAGTAAGTTCACTGAAACATAGACAGTTGTTTATGATATTTATTTATTTTTATTTTTTTTGGGTCCGGTCGTGGGGCCTGAACTCTGGACCTGGGCCCTGTCCCTCAGCTCTTCAGCTCAAGGCTAGGGCTCTACCACTTGAGCCACAGCACCACTTCTGGCTTTTTTTTCTTTTATGCTTATGTGGTGCTGAGGAATCGAACCCAGGGCCTAATGCATTCAAGGCAATCGCTCTACCACTGAGCCACCATCCCAGCCCTTGTTTATGATATTTAACATCGGGACACAGACATATTTGTGGCTTCTTGGCAGTCTATAAAATGCTAAGTTCATGCAGGAGTAGGAAAGAAAAGAAGGCCCAACAGTAATTCTGAGCTAGGAATGTTTGATTTTTCAGTTGGTTCTGCAGCTTTCATTTGCCTATATTCATAATTGGAGGAAATACTGCATTTATTCTAAAGGTTGAAAAAAATGCCAGATTTACCCCCCTTTTTCTTTTTGTTTGTTTGTTTTTCTTTTTAGTTGGTCATGAGGCTTAAACTCTGGGCCTGGGCACTCTCCCTCAGCTCTTCAGCTCAAGGCAAGCACTCTACCACTTGAGCTACAGTGCCACTTCTGGTTTTTTCTGGTAGTTAATTGGAGATAAGAGTCTCACAGATTTTCATGCCCAGGCTTGCTTTGAACCACAATCCTCAGATCTCAGCCTCCTGAGTAGCAAAGATGATAGGCATGAGCCATGGATGCCTGGCTCCCCCTATTTAACTCAGGTGCTTTTTCTCTTACATGTACAGCCCATCTAAATGCTCAATTTAGACCCAGGCCTTCATGTTGCTTTTCCTCGCCCTATAGAGTCAAACCCTTCCTCCAACCAGAACAGCCTTGAGATGACATATGTATTGCCCAATTGACACCCTGATGATTTGCAGATCAGAGAAGGAAAGGCCGGCAGTGGAGGGACACAGCTCAGGCTTGAGCATACAAGTGGTTGGTGCTTCATCAGCACTGCCCGTGGGGAGGGGCCAACCGTGGGGTGTGTGGTGTTCCTGGTGAGTGGAGTACAGGGGCTGGAGGCATCAGGGAAGGAGGTCTGACAGGCCTCTCATTGTGTCCTTGGCAGCCGCCCTTTGATGGCGAGGATGAAGAGGAGCTGTTTCAGGCCATCATGGAGCAAACGGTCACCTACCCCAAGTCCCTTTCCCGAGAAGCCGTGGCCATCTGCAAGGGGGTGAGGACCCCAGTCCCTGCTTTGCACGCTCACAACCCATGTATCCCACAACCTGTGTATCTCATTCTTCCACTTTCCTTCCTCCCGCCTTCCAGAAAAGTGGATGGAATACACAGGTTTTGCTAGAACCACATTGGTCACCTTGTGGCCAGTCCAAGTCCTGGGGTGCCCTCTACTCCCCTCACTCCTCCACAGCTCCCACCCCGTGCTTACTGCAGTCACTACCATGAGGCTGCAACCCGCGTCTCCCTCCGGAGCTGCCCAGAAACACTAGAACTCCTATGCTTGGGAAAGCTATCACAGCTGTGAGCCGAGGAGTCCTCTCCCCAAGGGAGGGAGAGACTGTGTCCAGAAAACAGTGGCTGGCCCCAAGGGGGTGAGAGTGGGAGGGTCGGACACTGGCAGCACCCCTCTGTTTCCAGAGCCCCTCTCTGGTCAGAGGACTGTCTCCCTCTGGCTCTCCAGCTCACACCTCGGCCTCTTTCCACTGGGTATGATGGGCCTTTCCATCTGGGCATCTCCTCCGGTGTGTGTGTGTGTGAGTGTGTGTGTGTGTGTGTGTGTGTGTATGGATATGTGTGTATGGATATTTGTGCCTCTCCCTGTCTTTCCCTCCATCTCCCCTCCCCTCTCCCTCTCCCTCTCCCCCACTTGGATCTTCCTCCTGCCTCCACCCCTTTCTTTCTGGGCCGCTCACACCCTCCCATCTTGGTTTTGGTTTCTCTTGTCCACCCCTGGCCTTTGGGGCTGGATTTCCTCTGCTGCCACCCCGGTACATTTAGTCCCATTTCCTTCCTTCTTCTCCCCGCCCCCCCCAGTCTCGTGCCCGCCCCGTCGCGGGTCTGCGCCCCCTTCTTCCTCCTCTTCCGACCTCGGTGCTGATTCTGCACCCCTTGTCGTTCTCTCTCTTTCCCGATCTGTCTCTTCGGCTGCTTCCTGCAGTTCCTGACGAAGCACCCAGGCAAGCGCTTGGGCTCGGGCCCCGATGGCGAACCCACCATCCGCGGGCACGGCTTCTTCCGCTGGATCGACTGGGAGCGTCTGGAGCGTCTGGAGATCGCGCCCCCGTTCAGGCCGCGTCCGGTCAGTCACCCGCTGGGCCTGCCCGGGAGGCGTGGGGGAGACGGGAGCACCCGAACCTCCTCGCCTGGGGTTACCTCTGCCCAGATCCCTGAAAGGGGGGCAGAGACCAGAGGATGGCAGGCGAGGAAGCAAGAACTCAGCGCCTCCCGCCCCCCGGCCCCGCACAGACCCCAAGGGGCTCGCCCAGATCCCAAGGGCCTGCACAGACCCAGGGGTCCCACCCCGCACTGACCCCCGGGGCCCTGCACACTCCCCCGGGGTCCCGCACAGATACCCCGGGCCCCACACAGATTCTAGGGCCCCTGCACAGAATCCCCCGGGCCCTGCACAGACCCCTGGGCCTCGTACAAACCCCCGGGGTCCCGCACAGACTACCAGGACCCTCACAGATATCGCCCCCCCGTTTCCCGCAGTGCGGCCGCAGTGGGGAAAACTTCGACAAGTTCTTCACACGGGCGGCGCCGGCGCTGACGCCCCCAGACCGCCTGGTGCTAGCCAGCATCGACCAGGCGGACTTCCAGGGCTTCACTTACGTCAACCCCGACTTCGTGCACCCCGATGCCCGCAGCCCCACGAGCCCGGTGCCCGTGCCCGTCATGTAGCCTCCCCGCCGCCGCTAGGTGTCGCCAGCGCCCCGCCGCCCCCATTCTTCCCCCTCCCCCAATCCCCACCCCGCATTCGGCCTCCAACCCCCGGGTTCGAGGCGACCCCCCCCCAGCGTTTCCGGCACTGCAGACTCCACAAGGCCTGGAGCCGCTCGGGTTCGAGGCTCTGCCCTGCCCAGCCCTTTAGTCCAGCCCCGTAGTCCAGGTCCCGGTCCGGGTCTCCTCCCTATGAGAGCTAGGCCTCCACCGGCCCCACCCCGTCTGGAGGCTCCGCCCCGAAGTCCCACCCACCCAGAGGCCACGCCCCCTCAGAGACCCCCCCTCACCCCTCGCGAGGCCACGCCCAATACAGAGGTCCCACTCCTCACGAGATCCCGCCCAATCCAGAGGCCACGCCCTGTCCCCTGTCCATCCACAGACCGCGGTCGACCTCCAGGCCCCCACCCAGTCTCGCCCGGTCCCGAGGCCCCCACTCCGTTTGGGGGGGGGTAAAGGGAGCAGGGGCCCCGCTCCAAACCCCCTTCCCCTCATCCCCGCTATGGCTCTCCCATCACCACACCCCTGCCACGGGCCCTCACCTCTGCCACAGCTCCCCCACCCCTGCCTGCCGTAGTGCCCCCTCCTCACCTCATCCCTGCCACTTGTCTCCCCTGCCCCCCTTACGGCTCCCCCACCCGCGCATGGCTGCAGTCCTGCTCGGAGGCCTCCCATAACGACACCCCCCCCCCCGCGCCTGCCTCTCGGGGACCCTCCTCCTCCTCCCCTCCCTCCCCGCACTCCCGCCACAGCTGCTGGAGAATAAACTTGGGATGCTGATGCTCAAGTGTCCGGATGTTTTCTTGTAAAGGGGTGCAGAGGTGGGACGGGGACAGATGCTTGGGGGCATGGGGAGGGGGCACAGAGAGGCACAGAGGTCACAGGGTGAGAGGAAATACCCGCAGGCGCGAGGGAAGAGAAGAGCCCCCCCCACGCGTGGGGCGTGCATAGGGAGCGCCTCGCAGGGCCTCAGAGCGGTGCATGTTGTGCTATGCGGTGCTACCTCGACCGCGGGACGCGTCAGCTGCAGAACGCCCCCCCTCCCCGCCGCACACACAGCGCCGCACGCGGCCGCCCTGCCTCCCCACCCCCCACCGAGGCCCGGGGACTAGAGCCCGGCCCAGAGGGAGATAAAAGGCTGCTTTCCCATGGCGAGCTCTAGACCTGATCTGAGGAAGAAACCCCAGGACACACAGGCCCGAACAAGCCGTTCCTGGAGCCCAGTCCGGGAGCTTAGCCGCCAGCCCGCGAGGCCGAAGGCGGGCAGGCCCGTCCTGCAGCCTCGCCCCCCTGACCCACTTACGGGCGGCGGAGGGGCTCGCCCAGGTGGACTACAGTTCCCAGAGGACACTGCGAAATACACTCCCTTCCAGGTGCGGCCCCTGGCCGCTAGGGCTTGTGGGGAATGTAGTCCCCGGACGGGACTGGCCCGTGAAGTGGTGTGCCTGTCAGCGTGTTCAGGGGGGACCGAGCCCCAAATCTTTTCAGCCGCCTCGAGGGCCCGGCGTCTCTCCCCGCAGGCTCCAGGCGTTCTGCGCGCCGGCCCATCGGGACGCTGAGGCTCGCCTGGTCTTCTGCACGACCTCGGCCGTACCCCCACCTCGTGCCCCAGGGCCCCAGCCCGGGCTCCGACCCTCGGCGGGCGGCCTGCCCCTTTAAGAGTGGCCCCGCTGACATCACGGCGGGGGGGGGGCTGGCCCGGCTCCGGCTCCGCGGCGGCTGCAGGACCCGCTCCGCGCTGTGCCCGCC